CTTCCTTTTCTGTATTGTTCTCCTTCTTCTCTTTGGAATCTCGTTGCCCCAAAGATCTACCTCGTTGCTGCCTTTTTATAGCCTTAATCTGCCTCTAAAACGTAGCCACCACACCCCCTAATCTTAATTAGAGTTAAGTTAAGATGGAATGTAGGCTGTGGGCTGATAAAACTCACATGGACTTAATATGGGCCATCAGCCCAACAAACAAAACCCTTTGTTACATCTGTCATCTGTTTTCGGACTCCACTCATTTCCTTTTCGAATGCAGCAAGCAGTACCTCCACTTTAGCTTTCACTTTCTCTCTTCTTGGTCCCACGGAGAGGCTTCTTCTCTCGGGAAGCCCATCCATGATACGTCTTTTGGCTTTTTTGGAACAACCGAAATGACAAAGTTTTGCAACCACTCTGACATCGTCTCCTCGCTCCTGAGGAAAATCCTGTTTACTGCTAATGATTTCTTTGAGAGCTCTGTGTGGAATTTAGATGACTGCCTAGAGGAACAACAGGTAAGTTTTGGTTTCTACTTGACTTTTGATGGCTCGTTTGTGCTGTTGATGTTGCTGCAGGGACTCGTTACTGCATCCAAAGCCCCACCACTTCAGTCCCACTCTGGTTTGGTGGAGATCCCTGCAAAGCATCTAATGGCTGAAGCTGTGGCATTGCTCGAAGGGCTCGAGCCTGCTGATCCCGCCATCTTTCTCACTTATGGATTGGAATTGGCAAAATCACTACACATCTAGTAAAACTCACAGAATGATTATCCAGGATCATATGCACCATCGAACCAAGAGTTTACTCGTCCAAGGAACTGTACACAAAAGGTGATGAAGAGTGGAGGAAGGAACAAAGAACAAAAAACAAAAAACAAAAAAAAAGGTTGCCTAGGGCAGCTTCATCTGGTAATTTGATGTGTGACTTTCTAGGTTTTTTCTGCCTCTCCATGTGACTTCCTCACCTTCTACCATGTCCATACTTAGTGCCACTTATCTCAATCTCTAGTTGTCCTTTGCCGCTCAAATGTGTGTAGAATCCTACTACTTCATGATCATAGCAAAGGTAACATTCATGACACCGTAGATGGTAGTTTATCTCCATATCGAGTTTTTGAATAATGTTTATTTAATCTGTTTAGTTCAGTTGTTTATTGATTTTGTTTAATTCAGTTAGATTCATGTTGAGATTTATTTAATATTTATTTATTATTAGAGTTCAAGTCCTAGTAGACCCTGGGTGGAACTCTATAATAATGATGTAATCGTTTTTCGTGAAAGATAATAAAATATTATTATTTTATTTTTTGACAAAATTCTATGAGGTCGATTCCCTCGAAATGATCAAGGAGGTCAATCCCCTCAAAATGATCATTCTTTTTTCTCTCTTTTTCTTCCATAATAAAACCCTAGTTCATTGTGAATTTTGTCATGGCTGATGATGTCTATTCTCTGTGATATTCTACTCTTTTTTTTTGTCCCGACAAACTGAAGGTGGTGTAAGTGTCCCACCTACCTCGTTCTTCCAATGTTACCTGCCATCAGTTAGCTTCCTATGACAGATTCCCTTCTTCTCCTTCTCTGCTCCTATTTGTTCCACAGTGATCTGATTTAATACAATTTTTTTCCTTTTGTTCGAAAAACACACAGAAGATAACCCCAGTTCGTCAAATAAATGACGATGTACAATGTGTATCTACAATGATAATAGGATTGTACAAAATAAATATGTTCGAAGATGCATAATAGGCCATATTGCTCAGCTGCATTATAGTTATAAAGATTCTTTGACAGCAATAAAAATGGTGGAGTTTTTTAAGATACCATGATGGTCCCTCCTACAGTCAAGCTTAGCAGGAGAGACAAAACCTAAAAAGGGTTTCTTCAAAGGTTGTTCGGGAGCATTTGTCTGCATAAGCAGAGAAGAGCAGAGCAGGTGCCTGCATTTGGCTGCCAGCTTCTGTTTGACTGTCACGAGAACAAACCTTCCTCCTTCCCTCAGCTCTGCAGTCTTGGCTCCCGTCCGTGGAAATGGAAACCATAGGGAATACTGCGTAGAAGGAATCCGCTCGAATCTCACAAATCCAATTCCCGCAGGGAGTCAACCATTTCATTTCATTGCTTTCCCAGCTAGGAAGCCAGAGTCACTGAATCCACCGGCCTAGCAGAGCTAGCGTTCATCCCCCCCATCTCCTTCCCTCCGACACTACGCCAGAAATAGAAAGCCAAGGTAACTTTTGCACAAGACCATTCCATAAGTCCATCCATTGATAGGGAAATGAAGATATGCCAAACACATAAAGCTAAACGAAACCTGCCATTTGATTCATTACGATCAACTCATCCGTCCACCCTGCCGTGTATATATGTCGAGACTTCTTATCTCTCTCTTGCCTTGCGCTCGATTCACGTCTTGCTGGGAGACGAAACGAGGGAAGCGAACAAGAACACAAAAGAATGAAGGCCATCCGGGTTCTCCTCCTTTGTCTTCTCGGGTTGCTAACTGCTACGGGGGTTGTTGCGGGCTACCAGTTGCGGAAGAGGCCCGGCGGGTCCGGCACCGTCAAGAGCGGTGTGGCTCCCTCGGGCGCTCCTCTCCTCGTGAATCTCACGCTCATTCCATCTGCTGCTGCCAAAGGAGCTGGTAATTCATCATTTCTAGTTTGCTACCTCCTCCCCCCATCTCCGACAAATTTGTCCCCATGTTGTGCTTCCGTGCATTATTCTTGTGTTCCGACAAATTCATGATATGTGCAGTCTGTTTGGATGGCACTGTTCCTGGCTACCATCTACATCCAGGTTTTGGATCAGGTGCAGATAGTTGGCTAGTGAGCTTGGAGGTGAGAAAACTCACATATGAAATTGTTTATCTTTAATTGATGCTGTCATTTGACTTTTGGATGGATTGTATTATTTATATGGAGAGAACAACGATCGTCATGAAATTAATGGAACGTAGAATGCAACACTTTGTGAACAACGTAGGGAGGAGGCTGGTGCAACAATGCCGCCACATGCAGATTCTCCAAGAACACCATGCGTGGCTCCTCAAATTACATGGAGAAACAGATACAGTTTTTTGGGATATCTAGCAACAAGCCGGAAGAAAACCCTGGTAGAATTAATGGATTCTTTTTTTTTCTGTGTGTCTCTCTCTGCCAAACCATCTGTTTGCTCAAAGTTCTCTTGATGGTTTTGATATGTCACAGACTTCTACAACTGGAACAGAGTTATTGTTCGTTATTGCGATGGTGCATCGTTCACTGGTGAGGGTTACGATGCGGTGAGTAAGATTACTTGAGATGTGTTGGTCTCTTCTTCTCGTGCCAAAAATAGCTCCTTCGTGTACTACTGATCAGCAACTAAATGACAGAAAAATAACCTTTATTTCCGAGGTCAACGGATCTGGTCAGTTGTCATGGAAGACCTCATGTCAAAAGGAATGCGTTCGGCCAAACAGGTATTCCTTCTTCTTCTTCTTCTTCTTCTCTGGAATTCCATCGACCACTCATGTAATGCCTACTGCAGGCCCTGCTTTCTGGTTGCTCCGCTGGGGGTTTGTCATCCATACTCCACTGCGACGAGTTCCGAGCATTGTTTCCACAAAGCACCAAAGTCAAGTGCCTAGCTGATGGTGGCTTTTTCCTTGATGCGTAAGACATGCTTCCTCCTGTATTTGCATGCGTGCAAGCTCTGCCTGACATTCATCATTTTGTTTGCTAAAATGCCTGTGTGTTGATTGACTGACTGTGTAATACTCGTCTCTTTATGAATTCAGCGTCGATGTTGGTGGTGGCCGTTCCCTACGATCCTTCTACGAGGGAGTCGTGAATCTGCATGTAAGCTACTCGATCTGGCTGTACTCGAATAATTTGTATAAATCACGAGCTTTATTAGCCACTTAATAATTCTGACGTCTTCCTTTATTTGCCTGTTCAAAACTCCCGTCGATGTAAAGGGAGTGGCGAACAGCTTGCCCAAGTCTTGTACTTCTCGGATGGATGCAACCTCGGTAGGCTTTCTTCCCCAGTGAGATGGATCTACAAGAGTGGACGAGTTGGTGATGATTTGTTTCTTTCTTGAAATTTGTTGCAGTGCTTCTTCCCGCAGAACAGAGTGCCTGATATCACGACTCCGACTTTTCTTTTGAATGCGGCGTATGATGTATGGCAGGTGTGTTATATGTTTCGGTTTTAAAAGTTGTGTCGTTCTTAGACACGGCTGGATAGTACAAATGAGTCAGTCGGACATTAAGGTTGAACTAGTAATGATAGTAGAATCATCTTGTACGACATACTATTTGTCATTACTAGATCCGATGTGATAATTGTCTCATTAATGATATTGAACCTGAACTATTTGAGTTATAATGCTTAAGCTCAAATTAAATGATATTAGACTCATCATCATCATCATCATCTCCACCTTGGAAATAAATTGGGTAAGAAAAACTCCTCATTCCTTGTTTTTGTTATTCTTAGATTCAGAAAAGCTTAGCCCCCGGCAAGGCTGATCCTGCGGGATCTTGGAACGGATGCAAGTTCAACCACACGAAATGTGACTCGAAGCAAATCCAGTTTCTACAAGGTGCACATACCACTTTGATTGATGTTTGATGAGAATTATCATCATTAAGACTATTCTTCTGTCAATAGGATTCAGGAACGAAATGATTAATGCTTTACGAGGATTCTCTACGTCCAGCAAAAATGGACTGTTTATTAATTCATGTTTCGCCCACTGTCAATCGTACAATCAAGATACATGGTACGCAGATGATTCTCCAGCCATCGGAAAGAAGGTGTGTGTTGTTTCTATCTCATTTATCTATCTATTTCTATTTCAAATTGACTATCTTCGACATTGAGAAAACATTTTATACAAGACCTATGCTTCACCATCAGTCTATTTTGTCTTTGCAATTACCTACATATTTGGCATCATGATGATTCCAACCAACCTCATCCCATTAAATTTTCTTTGATATAAATCCATCCTGAGATCATGGGATGGAATCCCATCTCGTCAACTTACCAATGCAAAACACGTATAATTATTTGAGAATGATGAAATTTTTACAACCTCTATAGTATTATTGTATTAGCATAGAAAGGCTCTCTCTCTCACATCATCTAATCGCTTTCCTGTGCAGAGAATTGCAACATCGGTCGGCGACTGGTACTTCGAGCGATCCCAAGAAAAGAATATCGACTGCCCATACCCTTGCGACAACACTTGCCACCATCTCCTTTAACGCAAGGCGAATGTGATTGACTATCTTGTGATGTCAGAAACACCAATCATTTGATTAGTTCTCTCACGCAGACCATTAGAATAACAAAGCAGCAAATACAAGTCCGCTAACCACAATAGATAACACAACACTCCTTGTGCACATTTCACCAATTATTTATAACAACAGGAAACAATAATTCCTGAGTTATTATATCTGTCGTACTATGTTTACAGAGATTTACTAGACCTACTGGTTATTGTTGTGGTGCAAATATTCACCGACAAAAATCGAAAATCTTATTGCTTTTAGAAATTTCGGAAGCTAAAATGTCATGAATGTTGAATCAGATAAGCAGATTTATCGTACTATAAAATCTCACACCTATGAAACAGCTTCGGAGAATTTTAATCTATATGGGAACAACAGGCAACAGTCAGAAGAACTATATAGCAAAATCTGTCAGAAACCTGGTCTTCAGTTCCAACAGGAAGTCAAAACAACTATCATCATCAAAATATTCCTGGGAACTGGAGTCATTATGTTTCAAGGTATCCGATGTAGCAACTTGAATGACCATGGAGTCCCCGTGGAATCAGAAAGAATCATCTAAAGCCTCGTATTGTTGACAACTTTGACGATTTAGCTAGGTTCTGGGGGTACCAGTTTCAGGCTTCTCATCCACTCACAAAAACTGTAATCATCAAAATGGAGGAAACTGCTTTTTAGCCTTGTCCGTTGTTCTGGAGTAAGCGTGCGTAGTTGCGGGAATCTTGCCTCCTGGTTCAGCAAAGCATGCACTGTGGTTACTAAACAAACCATCATAAACTAATCCTGATCGATAACATTGCACCTCGAACCAACTGATAATAGTAATATATTTCAACTATGTATTGTATTTCTTCCGTAATGGAGCCTTCTTGAAAAATTGAACCCGTACCTGCTCATAAGGAGGATCCTTGTGTGCTGGAATCAAGCGAGAAACAAAATAACGAGCCTGAGAGCTCCCCTCCTGTGTCAGACCAAGCATATCAGAAATATAAATCACTTGTATCTGAAAAATAAATAAATAAACTTGCTGGAAATGAAAAAAGAACCAAAATCAATTCAGCATCTACATAAAATATAACTTATCATCATGTCATGTGATAATATTTTCATTTGTAAATATAGATCGGAGCATGTTCAATAAAATAAATGGCAACAAGTAATAGTCCATTTAATCATATTGAAAGCTCTCATAAATGAGATAATGGGAAAAGACGAAGAGCATTTGGGTAGGCGAAACAGTTTCATGAAGTAATAACACTAAACCGATAAACATGTGGAGAAAACAGACTTTGAATGCAAGGATCCGAGGAGCTGGAAAACGGTGTTCAGTCAGCTCCTCTGCCAATGTTCTGCATGCTGCTAAGGCAGCTGCACTTTTTCCTTCTTGAGCTGCAAGCTCAGCACCCTGAAAATGATAAATATTCAATCACTTACTGAGGCAGAAAGCACTGTAATCTTCAAAGCAACATGCAAACCAATATTTTTTGCAAAACAGTAAAAAGTAAATTAGCACATACATAAGAATGCAAATAGACTAGCTTGAAAGGTGCACATTTAGAAGCTTGAAATGTGCACTTGTATTAATAGAAAAGAAGGAAGTGAGAAAAAGAAATCAACAAAATAACATGTCAAGAGATGTTGACAATTATAAGCACTTATGGCTACCGAGTGGATTACGAAGGCATCAAAATGTGAACTTAGAAGCAAAACTTTTCTCTTCTTTTCAGGATTACAGACTCAGCAGCAAGTAAGAAGTTGTTGACAGCAATTTGATATTCATACTTCATAGGATGATTATGTCACAAAATATTGGAAAAAACAAGGGTCATAGCTGAAATAATATATGCATACTGCAACATGTACAAATTTAGTTGAAAACAGTGTTGAAAAAGAGCAGGGTAATGCAATGATGGACTACTATGTGATCTCTCTGATAGGTGACCACATAGTATGAGAATACAGGATAGAAAGAATTATAAAAAATTAACGGTAAAATACTTTACAGAATCAGATGTTTAGAAAGAACTAGGGGACACTAACAGTAAAAATTACTTGTTAGAATCACATGTTTACTGTAGAACAATTCTCTCTTAATTGTTAGCAAGGTTATAAAGAGACACTGCAAAATTTCACTTTTGGTCTTATTTCAAACCAACAGAGCCACAAGGCCTTTTTTACTAGTGGAAAAAATTGACTAGACAAGAACTCATTGTTGTTGCAGAAACTTAAAATTCTGGCAAGTGTTTAAAATCAACAGGGATCCTTGTCAGAACCAATCTGACAAATATATGATTGTCATTATCTGTTTAAAATTCAAGGGAACAAAAGAATTACTATTAAAGCAGAAGGGAGGCAATGTGTTTCACGGAGTAGTTAGAAGATCTGGGAGGATAATTGTCAGAAGCAAAGGAAAAGATTCACCAAGGCAAACCACCATGGAATGATGATCAGAATGTCAGGTGGCTCAAGCAGGCACCGTAAACATGAACAAAATCAAGAAGAGTGTGAAAGAAAGCTTCAATAACTACAATCTGAGATCCTCTTCATGTTTCCTCCATGACATTTGTTTTTACAATCATGACATGGTAGCTAGGATCGGCCTGGTTTTCCCCAAAACTACAATCTGAGAATATCATTCAAAACAGAAGATAACCCCAGTTCTCCAAACAGTTTCTAGCAGCTTCAAATATTGCCAATGTTCAAAGTGAATCTATAATCATGTTGCTTCAATGATAATATGATTGCATAAAACATCTTCAAAGATGTATGTCATTGCACAGACTAATAGAGGCGACTCCAACAACATCACATTTAGGCAACAAAAGAGTGGAGATTCAGACTACAAAATGCAATTATGCTTTATTACACTGACCACAAGGAGTATCTTAGATCTTATTTGGATGCAAAGATCCAATCTAAAGCTACGTAAAAATTTAGATGACATTTAATCTTATAACACATTCTGGATATATCAATAGATAGACGAGTAACATAGGCTATGTAATATGATTAACACACATTGAGGAAGATATAAAATATAACTAGCTTCCTGTCTTATATCAACGAACACCTGAAATATTGATTATGACAATAATCAAATGGTCAAATTAATGCAGCATTAGGCTAGCAATTGGTGTGGAAAGCTAATTTTCAACTCAAAAAATATATCGAACAGGCTCAACAACAGAACAAATTATGAAATCTTGGACTCTTGAAATCAGATTTAACTTAAGCTTGAAAGACCGTTGGCTCAAACAAACTCCACAAGGTACAGTGATGCCTCAGTGTAATATATTTAAAAATGCACCACATACATATATGTGTACACAATGACAGTCGTATATGATTCTAGATTTTTTTGGTCTCAAAGACTACAATTAGAAGAAAATAATGGAGATGAGAAAACATTCCTAGATAAAGGAAAAAGAAAATTAGAACCTTGTATGTACTTATCTTTCCCTATTTGACTGCTTGAGTGGCTTAACTACAAGCAAAAGCTCACATGATTAAGATCAGCACGAAAATCAGACAAGTCAGATAATAATGTCTTTCCATTATTTATAATATTAAAATCATCAGAAATTGATCAGGATCAACTCAAACTGCCCAGAATAGACCTGACAAGGGGCATAATCAGCAGTCAGCCAGGATTTACCATGACCGATTACTCCAACCAATTTCTGATCAATCTGAACAAAGTTCCATGTCCAGCAAATCCAAGAAAATCAGGGTTTTCAAACAAATCTCATGGATCATGCAAACTCTGATTTGAGCATGAACTAATCTTGAATAGCTCAATATGCAGAGCAGATTAGAATTTCAACTTAAATTAATCAAGTTGATCAAAAACAAAGATACCCTTTTCAATTAACCTAAGTTAATCAACTTACGATGAATGCTTCATTTGCATGATTAAGATAGAGATGAAGGCAAGGGCCTTTTGAAACATTTGAATGGAGGTAACGCTGAAAGCTACACTGCATCGACTTATATTAGTGCTTCATAGATTAGGCTCATTCACAAAACCACGGAAAGATCATTGGAGATTCCCCTTAAGGGGTCAGCAATGTCAAGAATGCTGGAATGGGGATCAGGAGAGAGCAAAAAAACTAATAATGTTATAGATGATCCATCAGAAGTCAACATGTCTCTCTTTGAAAAAGGGGTGAAAGAGTTTCATGTCAACCGATTATGGAATTAGAACTACAGAAAATATCTAGAAAACGTAGATAACAACTATACCTTTTAGATATTTTCACATAAAGAAACAGAAACAATGTCAAAAATAAAAAAAGGTAAATAATAAAACACGATGCAGCAAAGATTTAGAAAGTTCATACAGATATTTATGATTCTCAATAAGTATAATTTAGCTTATCTAGCATAGCAAAGATGGTGCTGAAGGTGACTCACCAACCATATGAATATCTCTGTTCCATGGTCAAGCACCACAGCCACATTTGACTGCATGGCAAGGTCATATGCTGGTAGCTCCTCAAAAGTACCTCCATCTCGATGCATTAGACAACGTGGGGCCAGCATCCGAAGAGACAAATCAAATGATGCATTCAGAAACAAATTTCTTAAGACAGATCTTTCATCCTCATGACCAACAATATTTCCTAATAGTGGTCCCCTTCTCAGATGAAATAAGCTTTCAGGCAGAGTTGATAACTCCTGAGGAAACCGATAAAGCCTAGATTTGGGTAGTTGAGAACCATACTTTACAGCGATGTCCTTAACTCTCTCATCTACTGTAAGTCTCATATCTATAGCATCAGAAAAAGTTTTTGCATGCAAGAGAGTCCTCTTAGCAATAAGAACTGCAGCAGCATTTTCTTGTATGCTCCGGAGATACATGGACACACTATCCACGGTAGGTAACCTCACAGTAATCACTCTAGAAATGTCTGTGTGATAAATATTCGAATAACGAACTGCAAACTGGAAATAAACATAGTCATTCTTAATATCACCTTTAGTTTCCATAGACAGCGCAAAGCTCTGTGTTTCTTCAACGCTATGCATCTGAATGCAAAAAGATGAGTCTCTTTTAAATGTTTCATGAGAATCAACTGCTGCCTCTTCTCCTGGCCCAATAACTTGAGTCACAAGAATATCATCAGAACAGCGAATCTCAAACAAACCGTGGGAACCAGCTGCCCTGGAAGATGCTCTTTGCAAATTAACACCAAATGCCTCTCCAAAGTCATCATGAAGTATCAGCACGCCACCAGAGCTTTTTGCTAGAGGCTGCAGAATGGGAATTCTCACTGGACAAGTTCCAGCACAAAGAATATCCACCGTAGTGTTATGCCGAAGTGCCTCTTGACCAAGATGATCCATCCATTTCATAGCTGTCTTCTCCATGTATGCATAATTCGGATGAGAAAATGAATGTGGAACCGATCCAGGTCCATAAGTATTGGGACCACCAGAACACACCAAGACTCTGCAGTTGCCTCCTGATCTTTTGATAATTCCACGTGTCCTATCAGCAGATGGTCCTCGAATTATTGCTAGAGCAACCTCCACTGCTGTACCAAGGCATCGGTCTCGAGATGCTTCAGGCAAGTTGAGTTTGTATGGTCTTAGAGATGAAAATATCGTGTGCACCACAGGAAGTGAAGCATGTACAGGCGACAAATAGATGCCGGTGCCATATAACAGAGCTTTTAGAGATTCTTGGCTGGGTGACTTGTCACCTGGTAGTACATCAGCCGATGCCACTGATCCCTCTGAAAAATCAAATACTGACACGCTTCGTCCATACGTAATGATACCAAGTCTCATAGTAGGGGGAAGAGAATCCGCAAAAGCATGCAAAGAACCTTGCAGATGCTGGAGGTGTGCTTCATCCAAGCATTCATCAATGACAAGAAATATAGGTGCAGTAATTCTTGTGTCAGAAACTGGAACAAACCCTGGCCTATTTCCATTCTGAACATAGTCAATAGCTGAGGAAGAGAGCTCAGGCCAGTGCCGAAGGTCTTCCTTACTGGGAGCTATATATTCCCCATCACTGCTGTTCAAATTCTTACAAATTACACATTGCCACTGTCCGGATCCAACCAAAATTTCACAGTAAAGGTTTGAATAAGCTCCACAAGTTTGGCACCGGTGAGGTTCATGGTGTACAACCTCAGGACCAGGTGCAATTTCTCTTCCAGGGGAGACCAAAGCTCCAAATCCCAAGCTTGGCACATTTGCTAGTTTTTTACGTTTCAACACCTGTAATGCAAATCAATGCTTGCAGTATAAGAAGTTACCCAACACTGCATGAGATATGAAGGATCTTTAAGCTGATGGAAGATGGGATTTTCAAAGTAGTTTTGCAAAGTGTAATGATGAGCAAACCAATACAACTTCCAACAGCATTAACTTAAGAAATAATGCATAGGATTAAGCACAAAGTTGAAGAGATGTGAAAGAAAAATCAGGATATGACTGAAATGAATTATTCTAGCAAGACAGTTTGATTTATAATATCACAAGAAAGAGAAAACAAGAAATAGTACCTTGTGAGCAGAAAAAAGCACATACGGGGACTCAAGCGTATACTCATCAACATCAGCAGAGTGATGCAGTGGCAGCTCACTGGATCCGTTAGAATAAGGAGGTGAAGAAGAGGTGGGCAAAGATGAGCCCCATGAGAAAGCTACTGGCTGAGGAGTTGCCGGTGATGCTTGGAAAGGCACAGCTGCAGGCCGCAAGGGCGAGGAGAAGATAGGTGGGCCAGGAGGAGTGCTGAACTGAGGAACTGGACTACTGGTATGATGAACTCCTTCACCTGATGACAGCGAGCCAGGCGTCCGTGACGATGACAGTGGCAGCCGGTCTTGCTGGGGTATCTGAGGCGAAAATCTTGCTGATAATGGGGAGGAGAACGCAGGGGGTGTAGGCCGCCGCTCAGGGCGAGGTGTCGGGGTGTTAGGAGAAGCAACCGCTGCAGAGGAGCCGGGAGGAGGAGGTGGCCGTGTTGGAGTATCCATTTGTGCTCAACCCACTCACTTCCTTGATAGATTACCAGAGGACAATCGTAATTCTACCTGTCAACAGGAAGGAAGGAAACGATTACATCTGATGAACAAAACGTATATGACTGATTCCCAAAGGGCTTTCAGAACTCCCTCTTCCGAAGAAGAAACAAACAAACGCATTCCTAGTCCAATTCCTGAACGTGGACGACAAATCTATCGATCTGAAACCTCAAAATGTCGCATCCTACTTATTTACGAGGAGAAATAAGGCAACCCACAGGAACTAAGATATCAGTATAGGAGCAAGAAGGGAAAAGGAAGGGGAAAACAAGATACGGATTTGAAGAAAGGAATTGCTGCCTCCCGACGATTGGTCGACCGCTGATCGTGCTTGCATCGAGAGAATGAAAAGGGAATCAAGAAATTGGACTCGGTCCATAATATATTAAGATACGGAATGAGATCGATGTGGTGGTTTGAGCACTCTAGGGTTTCGGAGATGGATGGATCGGAAATCGAATCGAATCAAATCGAATCGGAGTTAAGAAAGAAGAGTAGATTTGTGGAGATCGCGTGCGTGCGTACCTCGTAATCGACGATCTGTAAGATGGGGGCGGTGGAGGAGAACTACGAAGCGGAGAGAGACGGTAGTATTTTTCTACCGCCACCCCCCGTCCCTCTCCTTCGACTGAGAGGATGGAATTCCTCTCTAGAATCAGGAATCTAGGCGGATGGATTTATTGATTCATCTCCGCTGCTGCTGCTCCTCCACCTCCGCTGCCGCCGCATTTATCTCCCCGTGCTCTCTCGCTCGACATGACAACGGGGGAATCCTCGTCGCTTCAGCGGAAAGAACGGTAGGAACGAAGCAGGAGAGAGGAAGAGATGCAAGCGTTACTTAGGTCAGGCCTACCTCAACGCGCTGTCCTGACGATGCTACCTCTCTTGTCTGTTTCACGGGTAAAGCTCGAGCACGACAACAGATTTGGTTTCTCAACCTCACGTGTCAACTTGATCTCCGTTAAAAGATTATGACGGCTTCACATGAAAGGCAAAATTGCAAGTGATTTTATTTTATTTATTTTTCTAAAAACTTTACCAACATTTAAAGACTAAATTTTTATGTTTCATCCCTCAAAAAAAAAACCTCTAACAATACAACAACAATGATAAAAAAATTTATATTTCTATTTAACCATTTATTTTTTTCTAATTATATATTTTTTACACATATTTATATGATTTTTTATTATCTTAAAATCTATTGAGGTTACATTGGATTATTCATGAATAAGAATATATATTTTTATTTATCTTTCCTAATAACATTAGAATCTAAATCAATATTATCATATCAAAAATACAAACTTCAATGAGACATCCAATACAAACAAACTAAATTATTGATACTTCAATGAAATATACAACACAAGCAAAGAAAATTTGGAGAATATCCTAACCAACTTTAAGATTGTCAATGGACATATTATTTTCTAGTTCATTTCCTAATTAGTAGTAGTAGTAGTAGTAGTAGGAAGAAATTTTAATGGACGGACGAAATCTTGTTTAATGTGAACATATATATTTCATATCATGCAGATTTTATACGGACAGTAACACATTTATATCCAATAAGAAATCAATAGAATTCATCATTCATGTAATACGACCTGTCTTCTAGTAGATGATTATAAACATGTATGTCATATTTTATATTTTCCTGGGTAATTAATTGCCTAAGTGCAAAAGGAAGATAAGTTGAGCGAATTAGATTATCCTTGTAATTAGCTTACTTTTACATCTCGATTTCACTATTTTCAAAAATTATACTGAGATTTCTATTCTCAAGCGAGAAAAAAAGAGGAGTTTTTGTTAGGAAACGAAATGAGACTATTATTCAATTGCTTCATATTAAAACAGTTGGTTTCTGAACTACTATTTACACAAAAAATTATAAAAGAGGAAATTAATATCGATGAGAATAACAATATGAAATTATCTTTTTAACTCTATTTTAGTGTCATTTTTCACACGCACATATCATATTTTTAGAAATAATGTTAACTATTTCAGAATCTCAATATAATTTTTGAACATATAAAAATCAGATAATCTATAATTAGCACTCACAAATCAGACAAACCAATGTATGTAAAAAGACTCGATTCGCTCGCCAATATGGATTAGACATACCATAGCATTACATAGATAACAAGATAAAGACAACCACCGAATTGCCTTTTATTCGCTGATGCAGAGACATGACATAGCATTGAGAAATACAGACATTCGAGCTAAGTTTCACTCACACAACTTAGAGAAAGCAGATCTTTCGATGGTTTCTGATGGATGGAGGCATTACGGCAAGGAAGCAAGAACGTCGAGGAGGCAGGCAACAAACTTCATCTGAATCTCCTTGTGAATGGTCTCAAAAGGAGGGACGTGCACGAAGAGGGAGTCGAAGCCATGCTGCTCCGCGAACCACAGGGAATGGTAGTAAACATAGTTGCAGACGAAGCTACCAGCATCGAGAGAAGTCCTCGCTAAGTACCCCGTTTTGGCCAAGGCCTTCACGATGTCGTCCACAGGAAGAGTAGTCTGCGAGCGACAACCAAGTGCTCAATCTCAGCAGCCAGCAAATACCATACTTTGCATTTATCTTTTAGTTAAATCCAGATAATGACATTGCAAAGTTTCACCGACTTCTCTGTCAAATTGCCACAACAAAATATTCAAGGTAGAAGAAGAACAGTATCGTAACAGAACCAATAAAATATATGCTACATTCGAGTGAGGAGGAAGCAACTTGTGACTTCAGCATCAGTCGAAGTTACTGCTAATCATAATATACGAGATTTGATACAAGGAATAAGAATGTACTTCAAATGCATTAAAAGTTCATCGATGGTCATCATCACTCTGCTACCTTCTCCACCATAAGCTTGTTTCCAAATCCTTGAGCCACCTTACAGGGGCTTCCTTTGCAAATGGTGAAAGCAATATATCCTCTACGTTTGCCTCTTTAAAACTACCTTAGTTGTTGTAGTTCTATAACCAAATACAATGATGGTCAATCAGAGAAGGAAATCTACCCCTTCAATGAGTTCCAGAGATACTGATCCTCGGCAATAATGCTGACAAAGGAGTTTGCATTTCAAATGTTCAGTCACATTTAGTTTCACATTAGTCGGAAAGTAGGAGAATCAAAATCTATTAACGCAACATAGGTAACTTCTCTCCTAAAAGTGTGTTTTGAGTCTTATCTATCCCGAGAGGACAAAACCGAAGAACTTTAAACAAATGCTCTGCGGAAGAAGGGTACAAGTAAAAATGTGCAAATCAAAACTTAAAATTGAAGCATTTTCTCAGATCATCGATTAATTGTCAAAATCCCTTTGAAGAACTTTCGGACTGACAGAATCATCCAATACCACCGTTTGAAGGTTCATACTAGTTAATGATGGGTAGGGATATTCGATTTACCTGCCGAACTTGTGAAATGCCTCCATCAGAAGCAATGATGGGAACCCTCTGCAAGACAGAAAAATAAAATTTTCACATATATGTTTGTTACGATACTAAGATAATGAATGCAGTATATAACAGTAAGCTAAGACAGCTTTCCAAGGTTAGAGTATGACCATCGGTTTCCATCCTAACTCATCTGGACAAGGAAAAGTAGCTTCATTCACTGCTTGTTTCTCGACAGCAAAACATGATGAACTTCCATCGACTCCAAAATGAACCTGAGAAACCAGTTCACAAGAAAATGAGCTACATGTTGCACATAGTTTCCTAGTTCAAGCGAACCAAGCAGAACAGCTGAGCATTCGATGAAATGAGATGTAACAGGTTGTTCAGTAACAAATGGTTGCTAAAAACAGAGCCTAGTGTACTTGGCTAACACCTATATGAGGTACTCGAGAAAATGTTGTGGAGTCAAAAACCTTTGCAAGCCACCATCAGATATGTACAAGGGAAATGTTCATCGTAGCAGGACATGTCCCAATCTTGTAGATCTATGCTTCCTACTGAGATCAAGGATAGAAAGTTCTTTTCAGGTTAAATGAGCTTGATGATGATGGATATTCCCCCCCACGTAATACATGCTTCAGAAGTTGGTCGTCACACGGAACTAAAGAATTGGGAACTGACCCAGATAACTCGTCCAGAATCGGTGCTGGTCTGGGGAACAGCCGACTCCAAAACCCTGTAGAGCGGAGCAAGTGCCCCTTCTCCTGCAGTCTCAAGAACGCTGCAGCTTCCGAGACGAAGACCCTGCGGCAGCCCCTTCTCCTGCATGAAATGTTCCAGCCCTGCCACGATCCCCTCTGTGGGGTTCTCCGGAACCCCAAGGAATCGCCCGAACCCTGTGATGTGAACTGCCACCTCCGAGGGTCTCTCCGAACCCATCTCGACCTGTCGCCAACACCCTCTTCTTTCCTTACGATAAATATCGGCAGGAGCTCGAGAAAGGCGAAGATGTCAGGGTAATCTCTCTCAGCTTTCTACTCCGAGGAGGAAGGTTGTTGGGGAAGCGAATGCCTCTCGAGAAGACCGATACGGGAAGAGACGTAGAAGAGTCGACTCATCCATTCTGTTCAAAGATGTATGTTGACTTTTCATGAGAGGATAGAGAAAGCTTGGACTTGCCCGCGACGGACAATCCAACAGCCATCCCAATCCTACCGCATTGGATAATGCCTTGAACGACTGATTGGTTACACGAACTATTGATGAAGAAACGGTCTTCACTGTTGATTAGTTACACGAACCTCAAAGCAAGATCAGTTGCCACCTACCTCAATGCTCACATGTGTTTCCTCTTTTTGTTTTTTGTTTTTTTGTTTTTGATTTGAGCATGGGTTTGGTTCAGCAAATTTAAACCGATTCTCTATAACTTTATTGCTTTAGTGTAAAAATAATAATAATAAAGTAGTTTAGAAATTCCTATATATTAAATAATTTTTCGAATACTTTTTTATTTTATAATATTAATATATACTTAAATATTATTTAAACAAAGAAAAACTTTAATTAATTTTTTTATTTTTTTAATTTCTAAATATATATTTTTTTAATACGCCCAAAAATAATCTTACTACATTTTACTGCTAGATTTATTTCACACTTGAACAACAATCACACTCTTAGTGTCGTGAAGATTAAATTATCTTTTGCAGAGTGGATAAGACAGAGAGGGTAAGTGTTTTTTAGTATAGTTTCAATAAAACCAAATATATGTGAATATAATTAATATATTCTTGTACTTAATATCAGATAGTCTAGCAGGTGTAGAATATACAAAAATAATAATTATTATTATTATTGTTATTATTATGATACTTGTTTTGACTCAATGAGAATATTACTGGATGAATTTCATCTTTTTCTATAGATTGTAAATATAATGATAAAAAAAATCATAATGTACCAAGCAAAATATATAATTTTTCTTTTGATGATATTATTTATTAATATATTTTTATCTGAGTACAAATGAATCCTTGTAATCTGTAATCGCAATCGTAATATAATTTTATCAAAAAATTTATATTTATTATTTTTTACTCGTTAGGTAAAATAAAAAAATTAGATTAAAATTATCCTAGACGGTGTGGTATGATAACTTATGCCATGTGTGACATAACCTTTAAATTAATTAAATTTATTTAAATAAAAAATAAAGCAAGTTGTTTGTGTCTCGCTGTTTCCTGTTCACCTAACCCATTTATCTTAAGCTTCTTATAATGGTTTCTTACTTGAGAATACATCATCATCGGCAAGTCAATAAAACAAGCTCTGTTTGTTAGTCATTGTAGTCTCTGAAGCCACGAACTTACGAGCTGTGATCATGTTTACTTTTTTTATGGGAACAAAATCACAAGGTTTTCTTATTACTTTTCAGCTTCTCAATCTCTTTCATCTGCTGTCAGGTGTTTGGTTTGTCCAGTTTTGTTCACCACGAGGTTTGACTGTTGTTACACAGAGACGGAAAAATTAAGGATGACTTCCAACCCTGTGCGAGGCAACTTCTGCCACACTGTTTGTACTGTGTACAGAGGAAAGGAAGGACAGAGATCATTCGACGCTCGAAGACCATATCACAGCGTATAAGTTTTGGAACTGTGTTTGTTTGTTCCAATATAGGTTAAGTAAGCATAAAGTCTATAATTATATTATATCTGAAATATGAAAATAATTTATATATCAGGATTGAAATTAAGTGTATAGATCTAATTATTACGATGCATACCTTTTGATGTCATCTCTTCATATATCACAACGTATAAGTTTGAAAACTGTGTTTGTTTGTCCCAATGTATAGGTTAAGTAAACATAAAGTCTATAATTATATTATATCTGAAATATGAAAATAATTTATATGTCAGGATTGAAATCAAGTGTATAGATCTAATTATTACGATGCATACCTTTTGATGTCATCTCTTCAGATATCTCGTTTGATCTGTTAAATACCGTCTTTGATCCAAGATTACTGCTTGATCCAAGATTACTGTAGGCACCGTCTTTAATCCAAATCCGCTGTAGAATCTGCAATGAGTGCAAGGAATAGATCCTTTCTCCTCTCTTCCTATCGTTAGGGAGGTACGTCTGTACGTAATGCCAACGCTCTCTCAACCCCTAGAGGTCTTGGCTAAAATATTTTAACGGAACCCAATTAGTTATTATATTATATATCTTATTCAATTATAAAAGGATCACAAAATCTAATATTCTCCCACTTGACCCATTAATTAATAAGATATAAAAGAGATATTCAAAATCAAAATAAACAAAACAAATTTTGTTTTAAAACAATTTTACCTAATTGGATTTGAAGGAATTTTTTAAAAGCATTTTATACATGGCCATGTTTTAAAATAAGCCAATAAGCCAATAAGTCCAATAAACATAATAATACTATATTAAGTCCAACTATCAATGCGAGTCATAGCAGTTATATTTCATCAATGTCATACTCCCTTCTATGTACCACAACATTGTTAGTCTTTCCTAATATAGTCCATAATGACTCCTATAATTTGTCTTGTCAAGACAATCCTGTTATTACATTCAACCATAATATGCATAAACATAAATGTAAATAGGATAGCAGAAACAGATAACTTTAATTAAGCAAGAAGAATGTCAATAATAGCATCCACATAAACATGCATCACCATATCCTTTGTGACTTGCTCACAAGCCTCATTCTAAGAACATGTTCTTTGAATATTTTACACTGTAATGCTTTTATCAATGGATCAGCAATCATCGTAGTGGTGCTCAAGTTCTCAATTGATACTTATTGTTTCTGGACTCTTTCTCTAACCACCAAGTATTTTATCTCAATGTGCTTGGAACCACTAGAGTACTTGCCATTCTTAGAGAAGAAAACTACTGCAGTGTTATCATAAAATATCTTCAGCGGCTTGGCAATTGAGTCGACCACACCAAGTCCCAAGATGAAATTTTACAGCCATAAAGCTTGATTTGTGGCCTCAAAGCATGTCACAAATTTAGCTTCTATTGTTGATGATGTAATAAGCGATTGCTTTGCACTTTTCCAATAAATTACCCCACCAGCTAACATAAATACAAATCCTGAAGTGGACTTCCTACTATCGAGGCAATTTGCAAAATCAGCATCTAAATATCCTATCACTTCAAGCTAATCTGATCTCCTATATGTGAGCATATAATCTTTCATCCCTTGCAAATATCTCATTACTTTCTTTGCAGCTTTCCAATGTTCCATTCCTGGGTTACTTTGGTATCTTCCCAGCATTGCAATTGCAAAACTGATATCTAGTCTTGTACAGGTTTGAATATATAATAGACTTCCAACTACGCACCCATAAGGAATATTCTTCATTTGATTCTTTTCTAAGTCATTTCTTGGGCACTGGTTTTGACTGAATTTTTTACCTCTAGTAATAGGTACATCATTGGCTGAGCAAAGATGCATATTAAATCTTTCCAAGATACGATCAATATATCCTTTCTAAGATAATCCTAATAATCCTTGAGATCTATCCCTGAATATCTCAATGCCAATAACATAGGCGGCCTCATTTATATCAACCATCTTAAAATTCTTGTTGAGAAATATCTTGGTTTCGTGCAATAAACCAAGATCACTATTGGCAAGTAAAATATCATCCACATATAAGACCAATATAATAAACTTGCTCCCACTTACCTTCAAGTATATACATTGATCAACAGTGTTTTCCTTAAAACCGAAGGAAGTAACGGTATTATGAAATTTTATATACCATTGTCTGGAAGCTTGTTTAAGGTCATAAATGGATTTCTTAAGTTTACAAGCCCAATTTTCTTTTCCCTTTTCAATGAATCCTTCAGGTTGTTCCATATAGATTTCCTCATCCAGATCTCCATTCAGAAATGTTGTTTTCACGTCCATTTGATGCAACTCAAGATCATAATAAGCTACCAATTGCTAGTCATAGGTGCCCAGCAAGCCAATCACGTGAGTGATGACACGTGTG